ATGGTGGTGATGATGACAGAAGCGGTTGTTGTGGTGTAGGTAGTAGTGGTGGTGTGGGTGTAGATACTGTTGATGGTGGTGATGATGACCGAAGCTGGTGTTGTGGCGGGTGAAGAGGCACCAGTGGTTGATGTGGATGTTGGTGTTTTTGCTGTGTTCCAAGTGTCGGTGGTGGTAATACGGGGCATGGCTGGTGTGGTATTTGTTGTTGCTGCTGGACTTGTTGTTGTAATAGTAGTTGTGGTCGTGGTGGTGTAGATAATAGTGGTTGTTTTGTCATTGATTGCTGCTGCAGCCTAGAATGATGGTTGGTCTTGTCCTTACTGTAGTCACAGCCTGTATCGCTCACTCTCCTCCTTAGCATGCTTCTAGAAGTAGTGTTTCCACAATCCACTGACTTTGACCTACTAAAGGCGAACCCTATTGGCGGGTGATAAGGGTCTTTAACCTTTAATTCTTGAATTTCTTTAGCAAGGTTGGGTACTTCGAATTTCAAGTTGATGTTTAGCCCTTGTGGTTCAATGGAAGTGGGTAGATTAGCTTCTGTGTTTAAGCAAGACTGTGTGTCAAATTCAGAAGGTGAAATTCTGCGAAGACGTCTTCTCACGATACAAAACATACGCCAAGGTTCTTCATCTTGACAGAAGCCTGACAGAATAAAGGATGTTAGTGAATAAACTAGAGAAGAATTTGGTATGAAGAATGTTGTATGATGAAGACTAAATAGAAAGGAGCAGGGATGCAGTCACTACTAGAGAAGTGTTAGAAAAAGAACGTTCGAGTGTTCCACCAATCCTAAGTGCTGTATACCTGAACACAATACTGATAGCGTTATCTAAATAAAACATATATTAAAAAACGATTGTTATGGATAGAAATATCGAAATAGATAGCGCACGCGCGTGATACAGTGTGCTCATATAAAGCACGTGGTACTAACCAATGAGAAAGCGCGATTTTAAACAGTTGTTCAATAGAGATTTGAAGTTGTGACTGCCAACACTGATAAATCAAGTGAAACATTTTCTTAGTGATATAACCACCCACAGAAGGCAAAGAGAATTTTAGACATAAACAACAAATCCTGTCATGAAGACAAGGTAAGAAACATCTTTTTATAACTGCTTTTCGTTTTGGACCCAGAAGTAGTTGTTTTCTTCATGAGTGATGTCAAATTAAAGAATAAGCCCTTTGCAGCTCAGTAATCACGTGCTGATTAATTCACTGAGAGCAAATGAATGAACATCTTGATTCCCATGGGTGAAATATACTGGTGAGCAAACAAACTTTCTACAACCTGTTTCGAGAGATCGTAATAAAATTGCATTTCGTAACACACTGGTTACACATGTTTTCATTCAGTTCTTTACAAGTAGAAAAAAAAGAATCATCAATTTAAAATAAAATAATTTTTTGCTCACCAGTACAGACACGTGACTGTCAACTGTAAAGGGCCTATAAGGGTCACAAGCAGGGTCCTCGCATTCACAGCACATGCACATACGAAAACCTGCTTGAGACAAACTTCCTGAATCTGTCTGATACCAGAAACATTCTCGTACTCAGGCCTTTCTCAGCTTGTTGTGCGTGAGAACATAAAGACACTAATGAATACTTTCTTATGAAACTGTGAGTGACTCCCCAATTCTAATGCCGAAAGGCTCGCAGAAATAGAGTGTAACAAGCCTATTGCTAAAGAGATCAGCAGGGGACTGGCACTAGTGTCCAGGAACAAGTCATACTGTAGCTTACCTAACTCTACGGACAGCTTGCTGGAAGGAACTAGAAACATGACTGTGCCGCTGTCTACTGTAACTACACCAGCCTGAAAATGCAGCAACATTAGAAGACAGTCATTTTTACACTCCAACATATCATTTGTCACAGTCCCAACTAGTAACCACTAGTCATTATTATTCACTTGTTGTATTCAACACACCAACACAGTCCCAACTAGTAACCACTTATTAAGTCTTATAAGTCTCTTAAAGCATTGCAACTAAATGGAAATAATTTTATGTTGGAGGAGAGTTCTAATTGAAAACCAATAGATAAACTCACAGCATGGTCCCTCATGGAAAGAGATTTAATGAAGCTGATGAACTTGTCTGCCGGGCCACAGGGCTTTAACACACATAAACTGAATGTATGGCCGCGGTAATAAACTATCAAGGTAAAGAAAAAATGTAAGATGCAGCAAACTACAGTACATGCTCAGCTGTATATACTAAGGTATGCTGGGATAATGTAGGATAGGATAAGAAAGGGAAATTGAATGTACGGAAAAACACTCTTCAAAAAATAGGATAAATAGAATAGTACGGGACAAGATCAGAAAAGATAAGATCAGACAATGTGTGTTGGGATTGTATAGGACAAAACACAATGAGATGGGAAGGGATGATAGAATGAGAATTGATTAGAAATGGTAAATAATGTGAATGGGATAAAACTAAATAAATAGAAAAGAGGTTGTACTTACGTGGTTTGTTCCAAGCTGTCCTTATGTCTCCTGGGATAACTTGTAGTAGACTATTCAGCGGTAATTTATTCCTAACATCAATAAACGATTTCCTGTAATAATATAATAAAGACATGTAAAATTAGATTATATTCACAAAACAATAAATTCAGTTATGAATCTATAGCAGGGGGTAGTACTGACCATAGCGTGAGACCCAATTTGTGACCAGCCATGATAGCAACTACACCTAGACTAGACTCCTTGCTGCCGATCAGACCACGCCATGCCATCTTACCATCATCCTCTGTCAAATACTGCACTTTTGTTTCCTACGAGGATATTATGCACACACAAAAGAAACAATACAAGCATTAATGAAACTCTTAACCATATATAATAAAATGTGGACTTGATAACCAAGTTGTACATGTATATGTACAGTATGGTTGACTGGTGTGGGAGAAGACACAGAAGGTTGTTTGTACATCCAACGCCGGTATCTCATCCTAAAACAGCAGGAATATTTCCTATTTCCTTGAGTGAAAGAAATAAGACAGTTTGATTGATTAATTAAACAACTTGTAGGCTGATTGAAGCTAAGACCCAATAAACTGGTACTGCAAATCTTCCTGGATTGGATTATAAATTTTATTGTTGAGTTTTGCAAAGAGAGGAGAACTAGGGGAATCAGGGTAAACCCTTGCATCAAGGGAGAGACCCAAAACACTCTGCTCACATATGATGCTGAGTCCAGGAATCAAACCTGACACCCCAGAGACCACCACTACTCCAGCACAATGCTTTCCTTCACCACGTAGGTTTGCCCAGGACAGGTGTTATGGCATGCCGCCAGAAAAACCTGTACATATGCATATTAGTACTTGATATGATTTACCTGAGCTGATATATCAGGAACATTGTCACTGGAGGCAAGATGTACTGGTATAGATTCTAGCTGTTTGATCTCAGGTTGAGTAGGGAAAGCTTTATTCACATGAATCACAGCAAATGGCAAGCAATGTCGTGGCCTGTCTCTTGGTAATCCTTCTTCATTATACTCATATAGGTAGTACTATGGAAATTATACCATACATGTGTGTAAAGATTAATAAATATCTGGCAAAATCCAAGGAGAATAAGAAGAAAGTTATCTTTTGTACCTGTGTTTTGATCATTAGAGTAGCAACATCAGTTGTAGATGAGTAGTGTACATTTTTAGCCACATGACAGTCATAATTTGGTGTTGGTTCCAGGTTGGTATCTTGGTTTGGTTGTTTGGGTGTCACAGGTTTGACTCTTCCCTTGACAATCTGCGGTAAAACAGCATGCAATCAGAATTGAAATATTCTACAAATGAACAAAACTGTTCATTTATGTATATCTGATTAAAACATCATGATTGGATGAAAAATGAATGAGAGGAATAATGAGCAATTAAATGAATAAATACAGTAATAAAATCCCAAAAATTAATGAATGCGTGGATCAGAAAGATATGGAGGTATGAATGAATGAATGAATGAATGGATGTATGGATGTATAAACTAAGGTATAAAGTATCTTACTAAAGTATATGCTGGTACTCACTCTAAATACAATTAAGAAAATTGTCCATGAATCTGGCCACTTCAAGCTCTTTAAACACAAATCAGGACACTTCCAAACATTGACACCCATCTTTCCATCCCCAAGGACATTACTGCTGCCATTACAAGAGAGGCCTTTCATACACTGTTCCTTGACTGTTGTCCCATAATATTCAGCCTTAAACGCATAATGTTCTGACAGTTCCTTTGCTGACCTGCCTTCATCACGTAGTTCTGTGCGCTTTGTTTGGAACTCACGTTCAAGAACTTGATTCTCAACTTTGTAGATTTTTGAAACAACAAAATTACGATCAAATTCTTCAGCTGATTCCCATGTCAAGTGATGCACTGTCTGGATGAGTTCCCTGGCTTCACGAGAATCTAAAGGAATCCCTTGCTGACAATCTATCAAATAATTATAAATGGATAACTACATATTGCCTAACTATACATGGACATTCTCTGGTTAAGCTTTTTAACGATAGGAACCACAGGGCTTCAAATAATGGCCTAACATCATAAGAACTGGGACTTGTTGGGTTAAATTTATGCCTTACTGGTCATTTTGACCAGTAACATTGAGCCAGAAATGAGGTATGACTGCAACTAATTGGCCTGTGATTGTGACCGGCGACTGATCTGTCGTTATTTTAAGCCCTTTTGAGGTGAGGTTGTTTGTACCTTCACTGAGTAGTCGTTGTTTCCTAGGTATGGTATATCGTTTGCATCCTGACCCATTCACACTGTTCTTGATGTTTTCCTCTGACATGGTCTCATATCATTGAGCATGGTACTGAAAATATTGTAGAAGTATAGTCATGTAGAATGCTTTTCAAATAAAAGACCTAAAGACTATAACTGTAACAGACTCAAGCACTGGAGACTGACAATTGAAACTTGATCATGAGATATTTAACGATTATTCACCAAAGGCGAACTGAATATTGGGGAATAATAACTGAAGCGAAGTCGAGGTTATTATTCCCGATATTCACTGAGCCTGAGGCATATAATTGTTTTAGTATAAATACACAGGTGATTCTTTCAAAAAAAGAAAAAAAAGAAGATAAAAGACACACTTAAAATTAAGTAACAGCAACAAAGTGGCTGGCCACCATTTTGGATTATTCCTGGAGGTGATTATCGTGTGATAGTATGATTTTCTCAACCAATCAGTGCTCAAGATTTTCAATAATCACATGTGTATTTATATACATGTGTATGTAACCTTTACAACATCAACAGCAAGTCACTTTGACTGGGCATTCAATGTCCATTGATAAAGAAGCACTGCTCATTCACATATATTACTTTATAAATCTGGGGTAAAATCTTGCTCTGAGTGCCAGAATTAATAAACTTACTAGAAATACATTAATTTGTTTTGGCGTAAACCACTTCCCAAGGGGGAACCCCACAGTAGCCTGGTGTTACCCCTATCCTATCCCCCAGAGAAGAGAATGGCAGGTGCAAAGATGCATACTTCCAAAATATATTCTTACCATATATTACTGGGTGAAACAGATATTTCTAGCACTGTGCTCACTTAGAATAACTAAAGATAAATGAAGGTTATTAACATCTAATAATTTTAAGCATTAAAAGCCCCCATTTTTAAGATTGGCGTTAGATTCTTTGACATCTTGAAGGACCTCAAAAGTTTCGCACATGGTATTTTAGGGCGTGTTGGTGACTTGAATTCAATTTTTTTATGTGACAAGAAATTACATCTCGAAATTACAGAGAATTTTTGCTAACCCTGAGGACGTTTAATTCCACGTTCATTGAAAGAGTTATTTGTCATAAACAAGAATGTTTTATTGAATGATAAATATATAATTATCTATCGATCATGTGATGCATATGGCGTACTGTCAACATGCCAAGCCTCGCTCAGTTGATGGAAATATTTCATATTTCATATTAACTACTAGTAAGGAATGTTAACTAGAAAAGCTAGAATTCTTTTTTACATGCGTTCAGATCTGTTTACATGTAAAGGAGCAAAAGCTAGACAGTTCGAGTTTAATTCATGATATAAGCTAAAAGACAAAGAATTTGAAGCGATCGAGCGTTTAATAATAGTGGACGCTAATCTAAATATTCAAAACACGAGAATCATGAATATATAGGATCTCAAATAACATTAATACACATACATATATAAATATATGGAATACCAATATATTATATTCAGATAATCTAGATGTTTAACTTAAGTTAAGATATAACGGAAACACAAAGTGAAATCCACTCTCAGCTGAATGACTCGCTGCAGACCGTAATGTCAAAATATCAAACCACGAAGTAACGACAAGAAACCCTAAAATCATTTTATTAAAATACACTTACCTCGACATCAAATCTACTGGTTTAGAAGGAATCTAAAGGCAAGAGGTTGTCCAGTCAAAAAGAAAGCCATCATTTCTTGATGACAACTTGTTTTTGACAAGAAAAGACTCGAACACTAAATGATAACGTATGTTCGCGCCAAATATGAATAAATTGAAAAATGGTACCTAGCCCCCCCCCCCCCTCAAAACCCAAAATTAGCTCGAGGAAACATTTAATGGGAAATGTCAAAATATTTGGAGTGCAAAATATTTCAGAATATGAAGAACCTTGGTATCATTGACTTGTGAAGACCGAAAGGGATAATTTATGGGGTGGGGCTATGAGGATAGGGAGAGGGTCAGCCATTTTGTTCGACAACAATCCTTCTTCTCGCGAACAAAAAGTAAAAATTACAACAACAGATAAAAAGAAAAGAGGGAAAAAACTTGCTTAGTACTTTTTGTATAAGAAAGCCGCTTGAGTTTTGCTCCATTATATGGTGCACAGAAACGTTCAGTATTGCATTGCGCTGAACTGGCAAGGGGAAGAGTCCTTGTTGCTTTTCTAGGACAGGTTGGTTTTATTGCGTTATATACTAATTAATTTGTTACATATGATTAGGGTATGTGTTCAATATAAGACTCTTGAGTTTTTGGGAAGAAGTCCCCGCGTCTTGTGAGAGGCGAGGCCTCTTTCGTAGTTCGAGGGACAAACATGGAGGTGGTCAGGAGCTGGCTAAGAATACCTATTACTATGAACGGCGTCTTTGAACAACGAGCAGAAAATAATCTTGATTTAGTGTTCCTCCACGTGTTGTGCCATGGCTTTAGCCATCAGTCGGTCGGTCATGGGTGCGTTCTCCTTCAAGGCTTTTCGCTCAGCCAAAAGTCTCCTGTGAAGGAAATAGATTTAATATCCTGATAGTATGGCATATGAACACTGATTGATTTATGAATGACGTCATCCTACCTTGCAAATATCCTGTTTTCTTTAGTTGATGACAACAGCGCAGCGTGGATCAAAAACAAGTTAAACAGGTCTCTCTATTATCAAAAACACATCCTCATATTATATAAAAAAGTCATGATAAAACGAGCTCTCTGATTGGCTGACTACTATGAAAATATGCACTTGGGAGGTTACGCCACGTGTAACATCCAGAACTATATTGGAGTGTGATTGTCCCACGCTGCATGTGATACGACAGCCAAAGCTTAACAATTTAAAAAAWATATATAGATAGCTTTATGTAAGGATAGTGTAGTTTGTGGTGTCATGATAATGCGATGATGTAAGTAAAGCTGCTTCATTATTATTTATAGCACCCCCGGAATGATTGTAGTGGTGGTAGATTTTTTTTCTAATGGTCAGTTTAGTGAGGCCCACCTGTGCGTTACTTCCACCAATCTTCACAATCTTGTATCGAACAGGCTTGAGTAAGTTCACAGCTTGATCGTATTTTTTCTGTGTAATCAAATTAAAACACAGATTTTGAATATCAAACAGTATCAAACAGTTATGAACATGCTGTACCACTCTCTCACAACCATGAAAGACGAAAGGGGCTGCGAACGAGTGCATGGCGTACCTGGTCTACCAATTGAAATGCTTCACACAGCGCCAAACCAACTTCACGAGTAACCTCACAGTTCGTACCGCTGCCGTTTCTAAAGTGGAAAAAAATATTTAAGTTACAAAGATAATTGATGGATATTGATTGATTGCAATTATTCCCCACTAAGAGAATCAAGAGACAAAGAAAGGGAGGCCATGTTGGTGGTATTAACAAAGGAAACCGTGATGACGCAACGCGCATGCGTACCTGATATAATCCCTCAGAGAGTCCATAAGCTCATTGGTCTTGGCTTCGTGTTTGGCGCCAAGCGTACACATCAACATGTGAACGTCATTGAATACCTGCCAGAGGAAGAACAGACAATATTACTAGAAAAACCACCATGAATATGAATAAGGTGTGCTATCTTAAGTGCCTTACCAAGATGTGATCGTGAGCGTGTGAGTCCCAAATCCCGTAAAGCTCATTCCAGCGGTTTCCCACATCAACGCCTAAAATATCAAAGCAGCTTTGAGGAAAACCACGTGTTCATTTTCATTTACGGCATGGGATAAATAGCCAAGATAAAAATKATACCTTCCATTTCCAGTCTGTAAAGTAGGGAAGACGCATCTACCATGTCGAGCATGGCACCTGATTTTACTCGCTGACCAACTTGACTGTCGAACACCCCAAGAGCAGCTTCATATTCTCCCTTCGTACGAAACAAAATAGATTAGTACGAGACTGGCTGGAGCCCAAACGGAAAAGCACGGGGAGGTTACCTTTTCGATGTGGTAAATCGCCCAGTGCCAAAAGTTGTGACAGGCAAGCATGGCACCTTTCTAGGAGAAAAGAAAGAAAACTGTTCGTATCATTCCTTCTCTTAGGGCAACGCACGAGAACACACTCATGAATATGGATAAAACTGAAGCAAAGAAACTTATTCTAATGGGAATGGACATTACGCCCATGCTAAAGAGATCTATAGAGTGGTACAAGGGTTTTGTTCTCTCAGCTTACTGTCCAGTTGTCCATTGTTGTACTCAAAAATGAAATCCCTTCGGTCTGACGTCCCATCATCTCAAGCACATGAGCCTGTGCATGAGTTGACCAGCAGTCACGAGGATTTAGCTGAAGACCCTAAAGATGAACAAAAATGCTTTTCAATACGGAAAACCCTGCTGAATAGGCTAGATAATGATAGAGGTAAAAAATCCGTGGAAGTGACTAGCTGAACGGTGAACGTGGCGCTCAGAGCATAAGTGGACAAAATGACCGGCCCTTAGCATTAACCGAAATTGTTTTTTTTCTTTCTTTCCATATTTCTGCTTCTTGTAGACACGCATATTATACACTTAATTCAATAAAGTTAGTCACCAAAAACCTAGAAAGCTGAGATCACTGAGCATCATGGGAAACTTTTCATATCAAAAAAGCATATATATACAAAGCTTTTTTAATGCAAACTGCAGCTCGATGATGCTTGGAAGAGGTGAGACTATAACCGGTAAAAGATTCGCAAGTCCATGAACAGTTATCAAGCGGTTGAACGTGTAAAATGAATCTACCCATAATCATTGTCGGTCTCAGCTGTGTAGCTTTTCAGGTGACTAACTTTATTAAAATAAGTGTATTTTAGCGAAAAGAAAACATAAAAATGCGCAAAAGATGGGGGGTTACAGCATAGTAGAATGGGAATGAGGGCCGGCGGCAAAACAGCTAAATGCGCTGTGATTGGCTGAAACGAAATTTACCGCTCAGTTGCATGAGACTGAAGCATGAAACACATGAATCACGCGATTGTTCAAACGCGGGCCCCATTTGGTCCCCATTATCATGGTCTTCACTTTGGTGGGTTTGTGTAATAAACTAGGGATGAGTACTGACCTGTAGAGCATGTTTCTCGGCATCCGCGTACATGTTAGTCTCAACCAATCCAAATGCGTACATACCATGAAGATATCTAACATCAAAACAAGACATGTAAACATAGTCAGCTCCAGTGTAAAGATGGAAGAGTCAAGTCAGGGGAAATGAAAACTATATGGGTTATGTAATGCTTGAAATCGGTGTAACGTTGCAAGGCCATTTATTCTATAGATAGTATAGAAAAAGAACGCGTAAAAACGGGTCTGCGAGTGATCATCCAGATCATCACTGAGCATTACTATTGAATTCTTCATTTAGAAGATACAGTGCTTAACCAGCGCGCAAACAAATAAGTATGACCTGATAAAAGTCACTACACTTTAACCATACTAACGAGTAAAGAGGCAAGTTAGACTTCCAGCTGGGAAAGACACGAGCGATGGAGTCTCTCATTTGTGGTTGTAAACCAAGATAAAAATACGTATCGTGTGCCATCTTTAAGGCGAACATGTCGGTTGGATGATCTGTAAGAATGTCTTCCCACAGTAAAGCAGCTTTAATRGTGTTCCTGTCGGAAATCGCGGTACAAACAAGAGCAATTATGTCTAATGACAGCAACTTGAATACATAGATTTTGACACGTTTTGTATCTTCTATGTTTATTTATTAACGAATAGATCACTAGCTTTGGGTTCATTTATCGATCATCAAGAGGAAGTGAAAAGACAAATGAAATCAAAACGCACAACAAACCACTAACAACCGTATTTTAACCTTTATGCCAAAAGTGAGCCCGCATATGGCTTACACATACTAGCTTGGCTCGTTTTCAAATCATAAGGCAAAACTAAGGCATACATGTACTAAATAATAATACTTTTTTTATAAATGAACTGCTGTAAATTTTGATCTTTGCCATTGTAATGTGTGTGCCTTGTTGTGCTTGCGTTGCCAGGAAACCAGTTTCTACCTACCCATCAGCCCATTCTTTGACAGCCTGAACATGCAGTCTCTCACGGTCAGTGATGTTGCCCTTTGCAGCAAGACTTGTCAAGGTGTTCATACCTTGTTTTAGCTGAGGGTTGGTGTCCACATCAGATGTGGATGAAATTAGTTCAATACCGTTACTCATGACATGACCCATCACTATGGAAACGAGATTAATGATGTCAAAAGTGCAAGATAATAGACTATAGCACCAAAGATAATTCCACCCAAAGAACTATAAATGAGTCAACAGTTCATTAAGTCAAATGTACCCCATCTAGAAGACCATAAAATAATAATTTTGGTTGGACCAATCAGTAATACCACAGGTAACCCATAGGTTGARCCTAGTTTACCCACAGCCCAAGCCCAGTATATTACAGCAACAGTGATTTGTCACTCTCTGACATTTTAATTTTCAAAGAATTTATCCTTTCCTTTAACCCCAGGAAGCTCATAAATGGGATTTTTTCACTGGAATACATTAATATTTTGTAACAAATGTGATAATAATGACTTTGTGTGTCAATATGTACATGACAGTTGGTGATAATATCACTAAATGAATACTTGCTAACACAAACACTTACCAAAGTTAGGGTCTGCGGCAAGGAGATCAGTGAGAGACTTTTCAAGGCCACCAACACTAGGCTCTTCATACCAACCAGTGTACTGATAAAAGACATACAAACATTTACCCACATTAATAAATAAACTATAAGCCTCTATACTATGGCAACTGTTGCCTTTTGCTTATGTGGGGTTACTATGTTGTTCCTATAGGTCATTTCACGGATCCCGTTACTCAACCTCAGCCTCGTCAGCATGTAATTATTCTTTAGAATTTGACTACAGTCCACAGTAATTAAAGGAATTATTTACACTTCAACAAACAATTGAAACACTTAAAAATTTGAAAGGTTGTAGGCAATTTCTAAGGAATATATTTCAGGTTGAGCCGCGGGATCTGTGAAATGGTCTATTATTGAAAAAATGTAAATTGAACAAACTACTCCTTAAAACTTGATAGAACAATATAAAAGTTAACATGTGAAATACACCATGTGAATGATAATGCCGAGATCAAGTAATATGATATATATGCATGGAACAACTAGCTAGGATGAGAGAGAATCAAGCATTCTGAATAAATCTAAATTAAAACCCATTACAACACATTCATCTTATTTGTTCAAAACTAGCATGCCATACTGTGTGCTGCCTACCTGGGTAAGAGCTGCATCAAATAGCTTGACTGCTTCATTACTGGTTGTAGAGAAGATCAGACCTTCCTTCTTCCATGCCTTAAACATGAATATATAGAAGTTATCAGTTGGGTAAGCATCTGATAGGGCTGTGTATTTTTACAAGTCAAGGAGTATTTTGACAAGCCTTTAGGCAAGCCAAAATACAGGTGGCGAGTAAAATTGCAAAGCCGTATCAGATGCTTAGCCAAATGATAAGTTGTTTATCATTTAATTCTGCAAAGAAAGGCTTTATAAAACTCTCTCTAAACTCTATCGTACCCAGCGCGAGCAGATGAGCAGTGCTGATAATATGGTCTAATATCAGGCATGGTCTTTTTTCCCCTTATCACGCAGGTCCTTTCAGAATTAAATGATAAACACATTTAGCCCTAATATACTCCAAAGGGAACCTGAGTCTCCCCACCCCCTCCCCCCACAAGTTTTTTTGCAACAATGCTTTGTTGACGTCTAACCATTGAATCAGCATGGGTGCTAGGGACATATTGTTTTAAATACCACGTGAAAAACAAACGATTACCACGGTTTTTATTCAAGAAAAACATATTTATTAAAATATATGAAAATGTATGCATGCATTCATCTAGAAATATACCTAATTCATTCATGTAAATTTTATTGAATCGCTTTGGACAAACGGTATCGATTGTAAAGTGTGTTTTAAGATACAAGAGTCTGAAAGCACGATGTTCTGACGTTTTTGAAGCAAGCTTCAATGCAATTCAGTGCTAACTTCAAAGCAACCTTGATAGGAACGCATGAGCTGGTTTGACTGTATTAAATCCACTAGTGCACGCAATATTTAGTGCACGAAACTAAAATAAAATTTTGATAACTTACCTGATAACACGGGTTGTTAGCAAGGCATCTCGTTATTCAAACAGTACTAGTATTTAATATACTTACATCTAAATCCCTCCAGTGAGTGTGCATGTACGAAGACATACTTGTGTTCGTGTAGAAAAACCCTCATACGACCTCTTTACTCCGACGACCACAATATTGAATAGGAGTCGGCCGAGAGGACGATGGGGACGAGGTTAACACTTCTGGCTGTTTTGCATAGTAACAGTGGATTATCGGACCGCGGAGCGTCGGAACACGTAGAACCTGCGGAAACTACCTCAGAAAAAAATATTTTAATGCACCTTAAATAGACATTTATATCCATATCCAAACGAATTCTACTTGGCTTAAAGTATTACTCAATAGACTTCAATTCACCTTATGAGCGCTAGCCCAATGTGTTGGATTGTGTAAGCTTCAATCAAGTTAGAGAAATGATATTTTGCTCGTATTTAGAGAGCTAACTAAACAAACCGAGTAAATAATGTGTTTAAGTCAGTACATTCGTACACAAATCCGAGAACAATGTCCGAACTTCTTGGTGGYGAAACAAAGTCCAACACGTTTTATACCACGTGATCAAGGCTAGCTCTAGGCTCAACCTGTTTGTCTGTCCTCGGCATGAACATAACACTGAGGACTAAATACGAAAAATCCACGCAACTGGGCACGGATTTAATTACTAATTACTAATTTAATTACTGATTTAAAAACAAATCTTGCAAAAAAATTTAAGTAGGCATAAGTTCCAGGTCACCCATCCAGGTACTAACTTCGCTCAACTGGACTTGGCTCAGTGTCATAGAAGCCCACGTTTTTTCCACTGGACCACGGTTCCAGGTTAATCAGCATAACAATAGCCGTGAAAACAATGCACCGAAAAGACTAGACTTTTTAACATAGATTTTTCAACCGATTCCGTGCGTGGCAGAGATGCAAGGGGTTAGCCGATATGGTCTGGGGGCCGGCTAGTCTCTCCCCTGATGCTTCGGCTAGAACATTTTCTTGCGTAATTCGTACACCCAAGGGCAGAAGGATTTAATCGCCGTCAGGTCCGAAGTCCATACGACGCCTCAGCTCTGCGGATGTCTCGGGGGTATGGCACAGTGGAATCATTTTTTTTTWAATTTAAAATTTATGTCGTTGGGTTCGAATTCCACCATATCCATGCATATTATCTTTAATTTGACACTGATAATTTGATTCTCTGTATTTTCTCTTTAGATGTACATGTGGCTATAATTTCTGTTTTTATGCTACTGTTTCGACTCTTGCATGTCTATCCAAAGAGGCCAGCATTTCCCAGTCTTCGCGCACAAATAAGTACCCAACCCCCCCCCCCCCTAATTTCTGTCTATTCCCTCTTCGAGGAAAACATCGGGCGCTGTAATATTTCTAGATATATATATATATATATAAACTGCTGGGAATGTAATCCGTACCGGCAGTCTGTAATAATGAGGATTTTTTAAAGTACCACGAATAGAGTCGTTCGTCTTCTATGCCGAGAAATTCAACAGTGATTCGATCGCTTCAGATGATTTCTACCCATATTCCTTTTCGGTTCATCTTGCACAGGCGTACTCAGGTCAAAACGCGCGAATCACTTCTCGACAAATCACTGCTTGGGTTTCAATACGTAGTTCCTGCCCCTTTTAAAGCTTCATACCCTGCCAGTTAGTTTGCGAGGCCATCAAGTTTAAATGTTTGACATTTTCTTGTCATTTATTGATTTTTTGGTGATTTTATTGATTCAGTTTTTAATAAATTGTGATAAGTTTAGTACCACGGCTGTGAATGAGGGAAGTCATCTAGTCCAAGTGATTTGCCATCGCCTTGGCAACCAGTCTTTCTGTCAAGGGGGAGTTTTCTTTTAAGGCTTTACGCTCAGACAGAAGTCTCCTGAATCAGAAAGAGTCAAGTAAATTATTTAGCATTTAGTCCTCCAGCCCGAATGGGATATGAGTCAATAGCTTATGAGACCCAAATTATTTTAGTCAAATCCAACTAGGTCGGTCAAATATATAGATACAAACAAGTTTTGAATTAAAGTTAAATTTAATGTTTTGGTTTTCAAAGCCGGCACTTTTCGCTACTAATAGGATTTATTATATAGTTAGGATAGTACGCGCTCGCTGATTGGTCGAAAACTGTGCTTTATTAGTGAACGGAGCACAGTGCTGACGCCATCCGTGCGCGCGAAGTGGTGCTAGATTTTGCGACCGTCTTTCTTTTTGCGTAAATAAATTCAATACCGAAATGAAATTAGTAAATATATAATAAAACAAATAAAACAGCTTTTTCCGTGCTCCGTTCAGTAATAAAGCACGCAGRGAGTGAAGTAAGCACGAAAGAAGTGGAAGGAGAAACACGAGCTTTAGCAAACTTCTTGAGTGCTATTATAGCCCAGTTGTAGCTCAACCAATCAGAATGCAGCATTGTTGATAGACCACTGGTTGGATTTGACTATTAGTACAGTAGAATAGACTATCAGATCGATACATCGATTTATTGATGTATTTTTCAATCTTTTTTCATATTTACCTAGCGAATCTCTGATGATCTTGACGAGGTGACATGATGGCAGTGTTGATGAGAAAGATGTTGAACACATCACGCTAAATACAACAAATCGATTTAATACTATGCATTAATGATATCAAAAACTAAAACACAATGTATAGATACTCCACTGAGTCCCGACAGGAACTGTTCTGGGAGACAAAACAATGGATTTTTTTTGCATAAGAAAAGACGGCCTATTGTTTTGTCCCCCAGAACAATTCCTCCAGGAAATCGATGCAGAGTCTATTGAATAACATGTTTCAATATGTGAGAGCATTGTACAGTTTTTGCAGTCGAGGGTTGATAAGCTAAGCGCTGTTCCAAGTGGGGAATGAAGCGATGCTGTTCATTATCAACCTAGAACACACTCACTTGTGCATTACTTCCTCCAAGCTTCACAATGTTGTATCGAATTGGTTTGAGTAGCTCGACAGCCTGATCAAAATGACCCTGGAAATAAATAAACAAAGATCTTAGACGCGAGATTCGGTTATTGACGTTATTAGGGGTAGGGACGGGATATTCGTATATTGACGTTAGTAAGGGTAGGGACGGGATATTCGTTTATTGACGTTAGTAAGGGTAGGGACGGGA